GCAACCAAATCTTTTCACCTGCAGAGTCGGGTATAACTAACTGCCTGTCTCGAAGATGGCAGCTGACCCCGCTGTTTTAACCGGAGGTAGCTTCCTGTGCCTCTGCCTAGATTCCCATTTCAGACCTTCCACCTGAATTGCTGTCCTGTTCCAGTTATCATTCCGGTACACCCACTTTTACAGATTGGGATCTGTTCCAGTTGTACTGCATTGGCCATGTCCGAACCAGTTCGAGCCAACTCAAAGCCCTGGAAAAACCTTTAACTGACAATGAGGTTGCCTTAACTACAGTCACTGCCAAGGTCAAAATACTGGGATTTTGTAATTTCTAAGCCTCAAACTCGGCCTCAGTAGTTAAGAGCTAATGCACAACTGTAAACCTCTTAAAATGTGGTCTAATGTAAACCTCTTAAAAACTCGAGGTCAAAACACTTTGCCCCTAAGAAAACCCCCCAAAACCCCACTTTGCCACCTCACTAAAGTCCAAGGCCCAATGTCCTGGACCCTGTAGATCCCTCAGAAATTCCTCCTGCATTTTTTTTCCTCCTGCATTTTGCTCTCAAATTTTCTGTTTCTTAATATTCCAGGCCCCTGCACCAAATTGATGGTTTCTGAAAGGCTCAACCAATAGCGCTCCGCTTGCTTGGACTCTGTTCCAGTTGAGATATAAAACAAGAATAAGGGAGCCCATATGTATTAGTCTGGGTACTTTGGAGAAACAAATCCACAGCAACTCATGTATAAGAGAGAGTTTTATGCAAAGAAAATGTGCATCACGAAAACATCCCAACCCAATGCTGCCCAAGCCCACAAGTCCAACATTAACCCATACCCAACACCAGTCCACAAAGTCCTCCACCTCACAAAACAGAGGCAATAATGCCGACTGCAGGAGGAAAGCTGAGTCAGTGAACGTGTAAGCATCTCAGCACTGGCAGGGGTCTCCACACGGCTGCTCCAGCACCCAGGGCTGCATCGGGATAGATCCATGCGGCTTCTCCTTGGGGATGTCTTGTAGGAAGTCAATCTTGCAAGCTGAAGCAGGGAACTGCTAAGGCAGCTGCACCCGATACAACCATCACAAAACAAGAGACCCAAGAACTAGAAAGGCGAGGCTTCACCACCCATTTATCCCTCTGCCTTTCAACCAGCACCACATGTGATTATTGGCCAGGCTGGCACAGTTAACTAACTCACCATACATAGCATTACCTCCATCACCAGTCAAGCTATGGTGGAGAATGTGGCTTTTATCTACAGGCTCCTGAATGTCAGAACAGAGTTTCAGAATTCTACACATTTACCTCATCACAAAGTAGTGGTGACATCGCATCCCCTCACATTGATGGGTCATTGGCTTCCAAGGTGAAGAGAGAGAAGAACTGAGCAGCTTATGACCTGTTTTTCAAATTTACCCGTGGAGAAAGGTGCTGTATCCTCCGCGAGTGGAGGATGGGACAAGGAAGGAGGTGAAGGAGAACGTTAGCACACTTTTTCTACCACAAGCTCAGATGGAAAACCAAAACCCAAACTCATTGCCCTCTAGTCGATGCCGACTCATAGCAATCCTGTGGGACAGGATAGAGCTGCCCCTGTTCCGTCTGAGACTGGGACTCTTTACAGGAGTAGAACAGCTTGTCTTTCTCCTTGGAGGGCCTGCTGCATGTGGAACTGCAGGCTTTGTGGACTGCAGCCCAGTGTGTAGCCACTGCGCCCCCAGGACCCCTTGGTTCAGATGGAAGTGGGGAAGAAGCCATTGGAGATTGACAGAAAGGGGAGTAAGAATACCGTGTAGAACAGGGGTCAGCAAACTATAGCTCAAGAGCCATCTGCAGCTCCGAAGTAAAACTGAAAATGAAAATAAAGCTATCATAGTTTTATTTATAAAATTTTTTAAATGTTATATTCAGATAATAGTGATTTCATTTGTAAAAGTATATTTATGTCTCAAATAATTTTAAAAATAATTATGAGGGACAAGATTGACTCTTCCATCTCAAAAGTTTGCCAACCCCTAGTGTAGAAGATGCATCCTGAGTTGGCCCTCAGAGTGTTTTTATTGAGCACCGGCTGTGTACAGATACGAGGGCATTTCAGAAAGTTCATAGAAAAATTCCATTATCTTTTCATTCCATTTCCCCACCAACTTTTTGAAGCCCTCTTATATGTTATCAATTCATCCTCAGAAGAACTATATCCTTCAATTTCAGTAGGGAAACTGCAACCCAGACTTAAATGAACTTGATTGAATTCTGGGTTCCTGAGGGCATCACAGCAAACAGACCCTGAGAGTGAGCCGAGCAATGGCAAGGTCGCCACCAGTGCTGTCAGCTGGGTAGCTCCGTGTCCTTCGTCGGCTTCCTTTGGTTCTCTCTCTTGCACATCACTGGAAATTTGAGGGTTGAGGTCGTAGAAGGTAAGATTTGGTTTAGGCTTTGAAGGATGAGTGGGATCTTGGGAGGAAACGATGGATTCAGGGGATGTAAGGCAACCATCTTGGATAAAGTCTTCAGGTAGAGAGTTCCGGGGGGAGGGGGAGACAGTTGTCATTGGCTATTTTGACATCTGTGGTTTACCTTCCTTCCTCAAAACAGATCAGGAATCAGAAGTGCCCACTTGGCCGTGGATCTCTTGACAGGTCCCTGGGAAGCCTCTTCTAGAATCTAAGCCAGGAGCCTAAGCAGCTACATTAATTAGGAGGTTGGGCCTAGGTGGCACTGTTGGGTAGGTCTAGGACTGGTCGCTGTAAGGTCGGCACTTCAAATCCCCCAGCTGCTCTGAAGGAGAAAGATGACGCTGCCTGCTCCCTGTTTAGGGTTGCTGTGAACCGGCTTACTGGCAGTACGTTTGGTTTTGGCTTTTCCCAAGGGACAGTGGCCCTTAGTCACCCTTCAGGTGTGGAACTGAACCCACCCTGTGTTAGTGATCAACCAGCTAAGATCAGAAGGGCGCCATTTCCTCAAGGACAAAGTTCAGAGGGTTAGGGCCAGGAGAACAGATAGACACCTGGACACATGAGAAGGTACACTGCGGGACGGCAATGGACGAGGTGACACAGCGTTGTGTGGGGATCGTGGAATGATGTGTTCTCCAGTTACACCCAGTTACAGTAGAAAGTTTAAAAAAGGCAGTGGGACGCCTAACCCAGCATTTTCCCTTTTATATTTTTTAAGCTAGTCCACTTTTTTTTATTAAATACTTTTATTGGGGCCTCTTACAGCTCTTTTCACAATCCATTCATTCATTGTGTCAAGCACATTTGTGCATGTGCTGCCATCATCATTTTCAAAGCATTTTCTTTCTCCTTGAGCCCTTGGTA